CTTGGGGAACTGGATGTCTGCGAGCTTTTCCAGTTCTAGGTGCCTGGCGCTGTCTGTGTCTTCCAACAGTGTGGCACGGTGTGTGACGTCGAGGAGTACGGATGTTGGATTTCCCTTGTGGTAGGTGTGTATGGAGCTTGTATCCTAACCAGGTGCACTGCTATCTGCTTGCCCAGTGGTGACTCTGGTGGTACTAGGTAAGGTTGCTTGGACGTGCCTTCAAAGCCGGTTGTGATTTGGCTGACGATGTCATTCCAAGCAGTCAAGGTATCCCTCCGTGCTCGGAGTTGGCTGGTCTGAGATGTTGTAGTGCCTCGGGTTCGATGTTGTAGTTCTTGAGGATCCCGAGGCTGCCGATGAACGGGTCGATCGTTTCGGACGCGCCTTGGACTTGGGTACCGATGTCACTGTGTTGCTCAATGAGGGCGGTGGCAATGGCAAGGACCGCGAGGAGGCCTGTGAGGGCTTGTACGCCCAAACCTCGGACTCTGGGTTCCACTTCATGCGAACGCCGCACTCGGTGCACTGAGCGAACCTGCCGTGAGCATTGCCGTACCTCTTGACATTGGTATGAGGGCAGTTCTTCACAGGCGTCTTGCTCTCGACACGGGGTGGAACGGCCTCTGCTAGCCATTCTCTTGGGAAGATCTTCAGCTTGGTGGCCTGAAGCATCCTGAGGATCAGGTTCCTGGCGAACCCCAGGAGGGCGGAAGTGAGAAAGCTCCAACGGTGAAGCCATGCTGGAGGCTGACGTCTCATCGTGGATCGGGCTGCTTCCAAAAAACACTTGTTTCGAGAGACGTCCAACATGACATGGAGGAAGGTGCGCGTGCAACAAAATTCACAATCTCAACTGCCAAATGACCGCCAATCTTCAACAGCTCAACTGAAACTCCCAACTTTTGGAAGCGCACCTGCATGGAGGGGATGTCGATGATCGCACCCAATCTCTCGAGCAGGCGATTGCTTCCAAGGAGTGGTATCGCCCAACGCAGCGCCGATGATGAGGGGCGTATTGCCGATGATCGACGGGAGGTAGGCACGAGTACTTGCAACTGTTGGAGTGCCCTTCCCAAACTGAAACTGATCTGCACAGGGAATCTCTTTGGAGGTGAGGCCAAAACATTCCAGGACCTTGAGGTGATGCTGATACCAAAGAATACCACAACAAGTACGTTGGCAAGCACTGTCCAAAACCATGACACCCTCAAACTGGTTCTTGGAGGAGGTGACCTCGTGGACCTGAAAGTATTGAACCATATTGCACGCAAAAGCTGTACCAAAACCATCGTCTTCTTGATCCCAGGTGTGTCAGCATAGGTGGAGGAACCGTCGTTGTGGTGGATGAGAAAGGTCTGCTTCACTCCTCCCTTGCCGCCAGGAGCTCCTTTTTGACCCATCGGAGAGCGATAGGTCGTCGAAGCGTGTTGATGCTTCGATCCTGCTCCAGGCTTCTTTGAAGCTTGGCAAACGTCATCTCCTTGCCAATGCCCTTTCTCGCCACACACGGCGCAATGTGAATTGCGCTTTCTTTCTTCTATCGATTTGCCTTTGAAGCCACCGGGATTGCCAGGTCTCGTAGGTGGAGCGGTCATGACCTTTCGACCCAGCGTCACGCCAGCTAACTTCTTGGCTGTGATCGTCAGAACCTCTGCCAGTTCTCACCCAGCATTGCCTGACGGTCTTCGGATCCGGCGTCTTGTGCATCATCGTCCTGGCCGAAGTCTTGATCAGGTTGCTGGTCACCTGTGGGTTCTTCATCGATTGTCTCCAAATCTGGAGGCTGCTCATTAACTGGGTCTGCCTCAGCGACATAGACACTTCTTTGTGAAGGTGGAATTTTGTGAGCTTGAGGCCAAAGAGGAACGTGAGGATGCGGAGGTCGAGGATGTTGAAGGTTGGTATGAACCAGCTCCTTTTCCGTCACCCTTAGCACGGCCGTCCTTTCCGACCACTGGTGGAGCACCTCTAAACTCAGGGTATTGGAGGGTGAGGGACTCCGCAATGCGCTCGAAGTGGAGATCCTGTTGAGTGCCTATCAAAACACCTCTTTGAGCTTCCGGCGACAAACCTGAGCGATGGTGTTGACACCTTCGTCCGAGTAAATCTGGTTCACCGGCATGTGTTCCAGTTCTTGTTCCAGATCACCCTGCAGTGAGGTGTACAATGCAAGCGACATTTCCTTCTTGCTCATGAACGCCGAACATTGAAGCTGCCATAATAGCTCAACTTTCTTCTGGTATTTTGACCAGGCTCGAACGTCCTCCCGGTCGTACTTCCACTGTGGCGGTGAAGGTGCACTGCCGCCACGCCATTTGAGGCCTGGTTTTGGGCCAGAAAGGGAAGCCCATTCGTCCTGGTTCTCTTGGGAGGCTTCTGAACTCTTGGACCTGAGGAGCTTCTTCAAAGCCTTCGTGATCCGTGCTTCTTCGGTATCTGCCAAAGGGGTGGCCTGTGGAGCGGCCTCTTGAAAGTCGGCCTCTCGCTGTCCGGTCTCTTGGTGAACTTGCGCACAACGTCCTCCTTTGGGATGACCGCGTTCTCGCGGATTGCTAGGTGGTGGAGTCAAGCCAGGGTCCACGATGGGGTCATTCGTCCACGCTTCTGACTCGGCTCTCTCTTCCGGCCAAGCCTCATCTCCAGGTCCAGGATCATCGTCATGGCGGGCACGCCTTCGACGTCGACGTCGTGACTGCTGACTTCGGGACTTTTGGTTGAAGGGCATGTTTGGCCAGGTGCCTGAGGAAACGTGGGTCCGCGTCGGACGGTCAGATCTGTGGAAGGAGGTTCCATGGCATCTTGCGCAAATCCAATGGCGTCCAATGCGATCGAACTTAGCCTCTATTGAACTGCACTGTAAACAAATCCAGGTAAACTGCTCATCTTCCTCCAGAACTGGTTGGCTATCATCCAAGGGGTGATTGGGCTCATAGTCATCAAAAGCAAAGGCCCCGACCGTCTCCTCAGCGGGGTAGGCAAGGTCAAAGTCATCGAAATCAAACACAGCCATGCCGCCCAGCGAGGTGGGGCTCCGCTACCAACTAATCGATCACAAGTCGAGCGCGACCGAGATCGAACACAGCTAGAGCGGCTCGCTCAAAAGGTATTTTCCACCATGGCACACGGTGAGGTAAAAGGCTTGGCAAAAGGATCCTGAGCATCAAGGATCACGGGAGTCGATCATCACGGACCTGAAGGATCAAGGAAGGCTTTGGCGTGATTTTGACAGTTTCCTTTTTGATATTCATTGGTTCTTATGCAAAGCAAGAAGCAAGAAAGGAGTCGCAGAAGGAATCAAAGAAGGAAGCAAGGAAGCAAGACAAGAAGTAAAGCAGCAAAGCACCATGGAAGGAAGCACAAGAAAGGGGCAGAAGCAAAGGAGTTTCCAGCATGCTTTGGGGGCGGGAGGCGCTGCCTCCTCCCCTTCCCGTGCCACACGTTGTAATTATCTCCAATTCAGTGTCTGCCACATCAAACGTTTAAGTGACACTCCTCTTGCATGTTAAACCCTGTAGTGCGAAACTAGCAGCAAGCTACACTTACACAAACCTACACTGGCAAAACGTTTCAAAACACTGCAGGATCCTGCCCAGCAGTAGATCCCAAAAAATCGAGAACTTGATACAAAAACCAAATATTTGAAATAAACAGAAATAGATCCAAACCCAGCATCACATGCATCACCCAAGCTTCTAAACCGTCTTCAAAAGATTGCATGTTACGTCCAACCGATTATCCTATATGTAGGTTTTGCAAATTTCCCGACATCCAACCCCAAAACGCAAAACACAATTTAGCTCAGCATAATGAGTGCCTTTCAAACCTCGCTCCTTGTGGAGGGTGCGGATGTGTCGAACAGCCTCCACAACATCACCAGTTCCGGCCTCACCCTTCGTGCGGATCATGCTCGCACCTTCGTGCTGCTCAAAAGAGATAAAAATTGTCCAAGACCGGCCTTAAAGCGTGTTTAGCCCGCCCTTACTTAATTGAGTAGGCGCCTACTTAATTAAGTAAGGGATAAGTTCGCTTCTAGCTACTTAAGCTCTTCAAGGAAGCTCCCCTCGCCTAAGGGCGGGGGGGCTTCCTTGAAGAAGCGCTCGCACGAATGATTTGGTTCCTAGATTTGGGGGAAAACTTAAGCTCTCTGTAAGAGGGAAGTAGAAACCTGTACCTTCCTTTTTCCATCTCTAAAGATTTCTTCTTTTCAAAGATCAAGACAAAAGGCTTTTGCAAAAGAACGCCTTTGGGTCGCAACACACCGCGCAACGCCTTCAGCAATACGTCGCAATGCCTCACCAAGGTTGCGGCATCCGCACCTCAGCACACAGGGATTACACTGATTACAATGACAAGCATTGGTCTTAGAACCTCTACACCTCTAGCTTTGTTCTTTGCCCTGCTGATGCCACTGTGTCGATCGCCTGTCTTGTTTTTCTGCTGTTCAGGCCTTTAGTAGGTCCAAGGGCAAGTTTCTGGAAATGACACGAAAGGTCTGAGGCATGAACACGAAGGGAACCTTGAACCTTAGGCGGGGGACAAACTAATATTCTGCGTCTTGTTCATATACATACGTGATAGATATAAAGGTGAGCGAATGAAGCAAACACTTTTTATATTGATTATGGATCATTATGTAAGCTTGATGACCTTTTTTCACATCTTAGCACCGTGCTTTGTCTTATTGACATGATTTCCCTGCGTGTCACGACAGAAAGTCCGTCACTGGAGGTGGCTCTCTTTTCTCTCACTGGATTTGTGGTCTGGCCTCATCTGCAACTGTGAGCACCTCACTCTCATCGATGCAGTCTACACCGATCTGCTGCAGAACCTGTTTGTTTTGGAGCTCAAGTATGAAAAGCTCGAAAACACCTCCCTAAATAAGTCAGAAGCTGTCATCTGCCTGAGACTCCACGAAGTGTCCAATGCGACACTTGGCCATGACCTTGGGGCAGCCAGTTGACCGTGTGCTGTAAACTACAATCTAGGCAATGTGCACGAGTGCCGCCGGGGATGAAACTGGAATGGAGACAGAGTTCACAATCTCCTGGCAAGCCGCAGCACTTTGACATTGGGAGAAATAGTTGTTGCCAACATGGAAACCAAGAAACAGAATGAAAATAACTGGGTCCTGGTACCAACAGTTTGGTGAAACAGGCAAACAAATCGTTATTCTGTAAGTGGCCACCAACAACGAAGGCAACAACTTGAATGGAAAGGACAGCAGGGGAAACGAGGACACAAGTCAAGGTGGCATTCTGAGAAGGCAAACAGCATCCCAAACAGATTTAAGTTTGAGGACAACGAGCAAAACATGATGGGAATCGAGATAAATAAGTAAGGGCTGAAAATATGGCCAACAAGCGTCCAATCAAAGACGAGCGGAGAGGCCAACACTACATGGTCTAGTAAAATCTGCCAGGCTATTAGGCTGCAGGCCATCGCTATTAGGTTGGAGGCTATCGATATTAGGTTGGAGGAGGTGTCACAGGTTTGTCAGGAACTTAAAAGAGATAACTATCCGAGGTAAAACAGCAAGGATTGGTAACTTGTTTGCTGCCGACTCTTAACCACACCCATTTGCACTCTCCACATAACGAAAGCATTGATTGGGCCTTGATCATCTTGGGATCAGACATTCTTGCAACACCCTGCATCAAGACATCACATATTCTGATTTGTCTTCATGCTGCTGTTTTGGGCCTTGCTCTGACGGATGTCGGCTGGGATACCTCAACAAGTCGCGAACCAGGGCTCTGTCTTCATGACAAACATGTTGTCTTGTAAGCTGCCGAGATGCGTTCCAGGGCCATCACTGCGCAAGCTCCTGCCTCTTCGGCAATCTTCGCTTGCTCTTTGTTCATCACATCCATGATGACCTTGAATCACAGGACAAGCTTCAGCAAGCTTTCCCTGTGCCAGTGTACCCACACTCTGGGCCACGAACACCTCCTTTCAGCATGGTTGGCAAACCTTTCTTCACCTCAGGACAAATCAGGAACTCCAACCTGCTCTTCAACTGCACTTTCTTTTTGACATGTTTCACACCTCCATTCTCGCTTGCATACTTGTTATAGGCTTCCACTTTCCGGAATGTTTGATTACACTGATTACACAAATCTCGGATAAATCATGGAGGTGTCATGGACAATTCCTCGTCTAAGTGAGAGGCTCGCTTGGTACCCTCGGCGACGGTACGAGGTGCTTCAGCCATGACCTCCAAGAGGACTTCCAAAATTGAAAAATAAAATATCTTTCAAGCTTCACAGCTGTGGAAATACCCTTGCAGTGGCCCCCGACTCCACTCTGAAAGGCCAGTAAAGCCAACTGCGTTTAACTAGGACTTGAGCCAACTGCCAACTCACAAATGGCTTCTAGAAGAAGTTGGTTTTACATAATTGATTGCTGGAATGGTTTGCTGCAAAGTTCAGGGAATGATAGAGTGAAACACCAACATAGCAATGCAAAGCTCGACTTTGTGAAACATTTGCTCTGGGCTGTTTGAACAGCCAATATAAAGCGGCCACTTTGGACAGCAAAAGCCATGCATCTAGGAAAAGGACCGAGCCAACTGAGCTTGTTAACAAGTTAAGTCAACCCGGTGGATAGACAGAGGGTGGAGGAACTTTGATCGCACCCTCAAAAACGATTGCTCGTCTGCCTTGGTGGCGGTCATTTGCAAGGCTGATGAGAGAAGCCACAGAGCAGCTTAGTTCGAAGCAAATGCCACACACTTTGGAAGCGTCCTGACGTCAAGAGTCGATGAATGTCAATGTCAGTCTTCTCCAACGGTGATCGAACCATCCTGTATGGCTCCAGAGAGCGGGTTCAGAGTGGGCAAGTGAGGGCCCAGAGCATCAGCCACCTGACCAACACAAACCCCTGCCCCAAAATGTAGAATCAATCATCAAACCAAAGCCTGGCAACTCGCGCAAATCAGCAAATGCCAGCTTAGTGTCACTCAAATCTAAATAAAAGAAGCTTCAAAGAAGCTTTGTTTGTTTGTACCATCAAGCTTTGTTCTTTCATCAAAAGACATGAAGCTTATCATGATTAGCATCGAGGACCGCAGCGAGGCAAAAGACCGTTGATACCGTTGAGACTGTTAGTTAAAAGTAGCTAAAGTCTCCTTTTTGTTGTGCAAGCACATTGCGTTGAACGCATGTGTGTTTGTTTAAAACATGCAAAAAAAAAAAAAAACATACTGCCAAATGAAGGGTTTCTCTTCGCTTTGCAATGAAACACATTCATTGCTACACTGGCGCTGGCTGGCTGAGTACAAGGAAAACATTTGATGGTGGCTTAGAAACCTAAGCAATGAGTGGCGAGTGGAGAGAAAATGATGCGACCCGAGCCAGCCCTCTAAAAACCTGTGATGTCACCAATGCAACCAGGAAAACTGTTGCGAACGATAAATGCCAAACCATGCCTTCCACTTCCACCAAGCCCCGAGACAAAAGTTGAGAGACTCGGACACATAAAGACCGACAGTCAGAGACAGCTTGCAGCTCTCAGCAGTCAAAGTTGATGTTTTCAGACAAATCGCATCTGCTCTCCGTCTACCAAAAGACTATGCGTGACTGCAAAGTGTGAAGCCTCAACCTCCTTCCGCAGCATGTCTCTTTGGCGTTGGACATCTTCCACCTGAATTGTTGCACCGATCTCTTCTCGGGAGCTGGGGCGACTTGTCACGTCGTGTGCTTTGAGGCTTTGAGTTGCCCTCCCGGTTCTGCCTCTCGCTTGAAGTCCGATTTGGCTTTGGCAAGTTCTGTTGTCTTAAAATCCTCCAAATCCTGCAGAGAATTCAAACTTTGACAATTGACTTCAAGCAGCACAAAGGAACAGGGTTTCAATCCTGCTACAAGCCGTCAAAAGTTGTTTCTATAAATGAACAATCAGTATTGTATCATGATTTTTTTAAGAGCATTCCCTCTTGGTATCGAATCTTCCCCTGACACCTGGGCTGCTTTCTTCTTGATGTCTTGCACTGTGAAGTAGCACTCCTTCTTCACCTCAAATCCAGGACCCGACAAACGCAACAGCACCAAAAAAAACACAAACAAAAAACTATCCTACCTGACAAGTGAAAGTCTTTACCCCAGTCTTTGCTAGTACTTCTCCACACTCTTCCAGAAGCTTATCACACCTTCACCAACTCTGTGTCAAGATCTCGAGTGAAAGCTAGAAGCTCCTCGGTGAAAGCGCCAGCTCGAGCATGGTGGAAAAGGCACATGGCAGGTTAATGCTTCAATCTTCTGTCAGTTATTAGTCCAAAAATGGTGGGTGGCTGGTCGGGATTTATGCGCCCTACTTGGCAAAAAAAAAGAGAGCATCTGCCGAAGCTTAAGGTTGAATTTTCTCTCGAGAATCTGCAACGGATTCAGTCATGAGGTCCTGCATGGAAGACATGGAAACCACACCATACTCCACCATGACTGTGTTTGTTGGCTCAGGGGCCCCTTTTTTCTAGCTCATGACCTGGGCTTGGTGCTGACGCGCGCCTGCCATAAATCGGCGCTTTGCGCGCCGTGCCGCTTCGTTCGATCGAGCCCAACCTTTTGTGTTTGACGCTCCTGCGCCGCTTCGCTGGATTGGCAGCGGAGCACAAGCTCCGGGGCCTGACGGCCGGCGCTCCCTCCATGAGGTGCTTGGCATTGGCTGTCGCTTGCTTGCCTTCCTCTTTGGTGCCTCTATACTTGTTCTTCGAGCTCTACGGCTTCGGCCTTGGCGCCTGGCTTGCTTGGTTTTTGGCCTACGCCTTTGGCTTATTGGACTATTTGATTGACGCCTTCTTTGGTGCCTCAACTTGCTCTCCGAGCCCTTTGGCGAGTTCACTAGTGGCACAGGCATTTTGCCTGGCATGGTGGAGAAAGATTCCGCCCACCATATCCCATCCTGGGATGGAAGTGCGAGGACGTGGAGGGAATACCATCGCGAAGTGAGCTGGTATGTCCGATCCACGCCAACGCACAAACGGCGATGCTGCGCTCATCGCCTTGTGGGACGCCTGACCGCCCTGCAAGGTTGCTTGCTATGTCATGGACCTCCGTCAGCTTCGACATCCTCTCCACTGGCGCGGCAATCGCTGCCCAACGCAGCCGCGATCTGCCAATACTTCAGTTTCAAGAGGAACAGTGGAGAAAGCATGCAAAGTTTCCTTGTCAGAGAGGCTCTATGGTACGCCGAGTTCAGCGAGGCGATCATCCGCCGCCTCTATGAGGAGAAGAAGAATGGCATCCAGCAGCATGAACTGGACTTCGACCTTCCTCCGGACGATGATGAGTGGGAACAAGAGGAACAATGGCCTAGCTGGCTCCACGCACGCGGCTGCCGCTGATGGCGGTTCGCCTCACGAGAACTATGCACGTGTGGCTACAGCATCCTCACCTTCGAGGCATTCAGCTGGAGCTCAGTGGGACCTCGCTGGCCCAGGGGCAGCCTTGAGTTTGAGACTGTCACCGAGGCACTCCATAGTGGTTGGTCTTCTTCCAAGACCCACGAGGCCATGTTTGAAGAGACGACCGCACCTCCTGATGATTGGTGGGATGACGCCAATGTGGCCCAGTGTAATGACCACTATGATGACTGGCGGCAGCAAGATGATGAAGAGTGGGGCTACGCCATCAAGGAGCACGAGGGCATGAAGGCTGCTGAAGAAGACGATGATGCGATAAAGGAGGCCCAGAAGGCGGAACAGATCGCTGAAGGCTTAGCAATGGAAGCCTGGGCAGAAGCTCAACGTGCCAGCCAGGCACTCCGGAAAGACTGCGGGTTTGGTCATGCGATTGGAGGGGGCAAGGTCTTCTTCATCCAGACGCTGGACCTGCAGTGGCCCCCAATTCTCCCGAGACTGTCCTGATCAACGGCATCCCTCTGTTGGAAAAGGCAAGGGCTGGAAGGGTCACAATATGGCTGACGCGCTCTACTACATGAAGGGGAAGGGCAAGAAAGGCAAGACTGCCTCGCGGGTGAAACTTCTCGCCTTCCAGAAAGGCAAATCCTCCAAGTCCGGCAAGGGCAAGAAGGGATCAATGTCACGACCTGCCGTCAATGCCTACCCCAACGAGCTTTTTAGTTTTGAGTTTTCTGGAGCCCTGGATGTCCACTCAGCAACATCCCCTGGCTACATGGGGCTCATTGACTGCGGAGCCACAGCATCTGCCGGGCCACAGATCGCAGTTGAGGCCCATCTTGACCAAGGACAGTCAAGCGTCCGTGGAGGTATAGTATACAAGAACGCTCGACCGTTTTTCGTTTCGGCAACGGTGGTTGGGGTCGTGCGCTTTACCAAGCGACGAGGCTCATGCAGGGAATGATGGATCCGGTGTTCCAGCGAGTGCCCCAGCTGAGCGAGAAGCCTCCCTTTTACGACAAGGAGATGAACAAGTTTCAAGGTCAAGAAGGGCAACAAGAAGGGCAGCCGCAACACCAGCCCGGCTCCATCATGGGACAAGGTGGGAAATCCTCAGACTCGGGAAGCCTGGCGTCCGCCTACGAGCAGGAGGCCAAGTCAGCATGAGCACTACATCACGGAAGAGTGCTTCGGGCACTTTGAAGAGCTCTATACGGCGAGCGCCCCTAGCACTACATCCCGGAAGAAAATGACACAAGGGCTCTCCGAGCACTACACCATCTTCCAAGAGTGCTACTACCAGTTCATCCAGCTCTTCTACGAAGATGCCCACGCCTCTGCCTTTGAAGATTTGAGCAAAACGGCTGCTCCTGGCTACGACCTTGTTGAGCTCTATGGCAAGGTAACTATGAGTCTCTGTTTGGGAGACAATGATGGCATTTGGGAGATTGCGTGCGCTACCCACAGTTGGCTGTCCGAAGCATGCCAACGACAAGGACTTCAACCTCGCCGCATCAATCTAGAGCAAGGCTATGATCTCTACAGGTAAGAGACTTGGGAGCGAATGAAAGTCTTCAAGCAAAGAAGAGACCCCGACGTCTATGGCTCAGTCTTCCACGTACCAAGTTTTGCCGATGGACCTACCTCAACTATGCTTCACGTCCCGAAGAACTCTGGCAAGCTCGCAAGAAAGAAATGGAAATGCTTTGGTACGTGAACGATTTTGTGAAGGACACCCTCAACAAGGCTCCCGACACCAAGATGTACTTCGAGTGGACTCACCCATGTCAAGGTTGGCAAGAACCTCCTGCGGTCGACCTCGAGAACTTCTTGACGTCCTTGGACATTCCCTGGCTCTCATGTCGATGGTTGCGTCTATGGCACGATGGAATTTCGGGGTGAACGTCACCTTCGCAAGAAGTGGCTTGTCAAGACCACCTGCGAGCACTTCCACGCCATCTACAAGACCAAAGTATGCCGTGGAGGCCATGCGCACACTGACCTTGATCCAAGGCGCTGAGACTGCCACCCTTGGAAGCTGGTTCAATCGCGGGAGAGCTGAGATGGTGTCTGACCGCAACCTTCGGCTTCTCTATGCGAAGCAGGACTCACCTGCTGCCTTGGAGGATGAAGAGCTCTCTCTCTCCTTGCCGATGATGATGGCAACACCCTCAACGCTCTTTTTTTGTTGAAGAAAGTTCCTTCACAAGCTGAAAAGAAACCATGGATGGCAAGAGTGGCTCATTTTCGCAAAGCAGCTGGACATCCCACCGACAAGACTTGGCCAAATTGATCAAGAACGCTGGACAACCAGCCTGGAAGTCTCAGCTGGCCTTGGAACACAAACAGCTTGTGAAGCGATCCGACCTGGTGGCACTTCAAGCAAGAATATACCACCGGCAAGCACTCACTCTCGGTGGAGCGCTTGGCAAGTTGTTGGCATGGACACAGCTGAGTGGCAGATCCCGCCACCGAGAACAAGGTGAAGTTTGTCCTCATGATGGACTTGGCTATAGAAACGTGGGGTTTGGCCCATCATGGAGTACCCCAACATGGAGATGCGAGCGGAAACCGCTGACCACATCATTGAAGCCGTCACAGGGCCCTGGCTTTCCGTGTTTCCCAAGCCAGAGATGGCGATCGTTGACAATGGCAAGAGCTCCACCTCTGACAATGCCTTCCTTCGCGGGTCCAACATCGCAGCGCGCTATCCACCATCGCTTCTTTCGTCCTCCAAAGGTGAAGCATTGGTCCGACGTCATCGTCATCACCATGGGGACCAGGCCCACAGTAACCGGCCACAGGGCAACAGCACAGGAGGCATGACCTGACAGCTTGTCAGGCGATGCGACGCCCATGGTTCTCCTGACATGGAAGATCTTCGACGTGATCTGGTGGAATCCTCCGAGCTCCAGGCCATGAAGGTCAAGGGCGTGGTCTGCATCGACAGCAACATGAGGGCGGCGCCCCAAGCCTTTCAGCTTCGCGAGAACTTGCAAAGATGTGGAAGCGAGCTGCGATGGCTTGCTTCTGACTATGACCTGGCCGACTCGATGACAAAGAAGAAGGGCGATGGCCACGAAGGGCTCCTCAAGTTCATGGCCACTTGGCATTGGACGATCGCCTACGATCCCAACTTCGTGGCGGCCAAAAAGAACAAGAAGCTTGGCCTGACTGCCGTCGACAAGGTCGACTGAGCTCTTCAGCAAGCTGATGCGCTGTGCTGTGCAACCACTTTTGAGATGATGCCTGAGCCGCCTGAGCCTGTAGCTTCAGTGATCGCTGAGGACCGATCACTGATGTCCTCTTTTCCCCGTGCAACGGATTCAGTCATGAGGTCCGGCATGGAAGACATGGAAACCACACCATACTCCACCATGACTGTGTTTGTTGGCTCAGGGGCCCCTGTTTTCAAGCTCACGACCTGAGCTTGGTGCTGACGCGCGTCTGCCATAAATCGGTGCTTTGTGCGCCGTCCCGCTTCGTTCGATCGAGCCCAACCTTTTGTGCTTGACGCTCCTGCGGCGCTTCGCTGGAGAATCCTAGAGGACCCTAGAGGAGCTCAGGCTTCTGCATCTCGCTCACGCTCAAGGTGATGACGCAAGCGTCTTTCTGCAGGTACAATTCCTGCGGGGCTGGGTTCAGGCTGCGTTCATGCCTGAGTTCTTCTTCTTCTTCTTCTGCTGCTTCTTCTTCTTCGTCCAGGTTTCAATGGATTCGAATTTATATAACAGCATTTAAAGTCTCAAAAGAGCCACAATTGGCTCGAACTGCCTATGTGAGCGGCTGTGTCAAGACCTGAGGTCAAATTGCAGTCTACCCTTGCACTTTCTGCTCATCGCAGAACATCAAGATGCAAGGCATGCACTTGGCTCATTCTCCGCATCTGGTTCATTTCCGGGACCTTCAAGCTCGAGCAAGCCTGAGTCCAAATCAGCTCTGGATCTAGGCACTATGCTTTTACAACGGAGCATCTTCTGCGTCCTTGCTACTGGTAGCTACCTGTGGCAATTTAGTTTTGTCTTATTGCTTTAATTACTCAACTTTACTCCCTGCCTCTTACAATGCCCTAAACAAAGAACACAAAAGCTCCACGTGAAGAAACTCCAGGAGTCCGACGAAGGCCACGCGCATCAGCTGCAGCCTGCACTGCTTGCAAGCGGTCAAGAAGCTCGGCCTGGCGCCAAAAGGTCACTTTAGTGGAAGGTTAGGGATAGGCTGCGAAGGGGTGAAGAAAGCAGGAGGTAAAGGTAGAAAGTTGAAGGTAGAAGGTGGGAGGTAGAAGAAGTGGTGGTGGTGGTGGTGGTGGGAAGAAGTATGCTTGAAGAGCCCTTCGCATGGTGGACATGTTTCTCTAACTTTTCAGGGAAAGTAAACATAAGCTTGATCCTCAACTGCAGGCGCACGCAGCCTCGCGACGGCTGCTTTCTTGCAGTAGACGCCGTAGGGAAGGCCTTGATAGTCCTTCAGAGTCTGCAGGTACTATGTCCTCACGACTCACTCACAGGGCAACGCAAGCTCTCTTGTGTGAAGCCCAAGAAGGATCACCACACTCGTCTCCTCCAACCCCTTAGCTTCAGCCTTGAGTTTCTCGGCATTGACACGCGCCAATAGCAGAGCAACTTCTCCCTGAGCACTAACTCATGCTACTCAGCTACCCGGCAAAATCAGACACACTCAAAAAGTTTGCAGTCGGGCAGGTGGATTAAATCTCAGTGAAAATGACGAATGTCCTTTTGAAAATATGCTTTATGAGGCTTTTGCATACTGCAGCTAGCTTAGGGCGAAACATCACGTAGCTGTCCCGCAAGCCTTCTCAGCTCTGTTTTCAGCTTTGCAACCTGAACGAGTGGCGAGCACTTCTGGTCAATGCGGATGATGGGCCCTAGCCCTTAGCCCGAACTGAAAGTTGCCGAGAGGCCTCTACCGAAATTATCACCGACCTGTTATTACCTCGCCTCATCACGGAGCTCAGAAAGTTGCTTTGCCATTCGCTTCTTGTCCTTGGAGGCAGGAGTAAAAATAAGAAGCAAGCAAGCTCTGAGAAGCCACTTCACCAGCAAGAACATGAAGGAAGGAAGGAAGGAAGGAAGGAAGAGAGAGAGAGAGAGAGAAAAAAAAATACAATTAATGGTCTAAAGAAAATCAAGAAAACCAGGAAAGGAAAAAGGCAAAAAAATGATGAATACTTCAGAAAGAAGAAGCAAGGAAAAGGATGTCAAAAGACAGCTCTCAGAATACCACATCTTCCAGCTCCTCTACCTGTGCCGTGATAGAGCGCAGTCTGAACCCCCTCCGACTGATTTGACACTGTTTCACCATGTTCCAACCCTCCCTAGGGAGAGGAACATCTGCACCCATGGAGCAAGACAAAGAAACAAGATGGAGCCCACGAACCCGAATGCAAACACGTTCACAAAGCTACATATGTCCAAATGACACTCTTGTGGGACACTCTTGTGGGTCACTCTTGTAGGAAACTCTTGTGGGACACTCTTACGGGACACTCTTGTGGGACACTCTTGTGGGGCACTCTTGTGGGACACTCTTGTGGGACACTCTAGTAGGAAACTCTTGTGGGACACTCTTGTAGGACACTCTTGTGGGATACTCCTGTAGGACACTCTTGTAGGACACTCTTGTGGGGCACTCTTGTGGGACACTGTTGTAGGAAGCTCTTGTGGGACACTCTTGTAGGACACTCTTGTGGGACACTGTTGCGGGACACTCTTGTGGGACACTCTTAAGGGACACTCTTGTGAGACACTCTTGCGGGACACTGTTGCGGGACACTCTTGTGGGACACTCCTGTGGGACACTCATTTGGGACACTCTGGTGGGACACTCTTGTGGGACACTCTTGCAGGACACTCTTGTGGGACACTCTTGTGGGACACTCTTGTGGGACACTCTTGTGGGACACTCTTGTAGGACACTCTTGTGGGGCACTCTTGTAGGACACTCTTGTGGGACACTCTTGTAGGGCACTCTTGTGGGACACTCTTGTGGGACACTCTTGTAGGAAACTCTTGTGGGACACTCTTGTGGGACACTCCTGTAGGACACTCTTGTGGGATACTCTTGTAGGACACTCTTGTGGGACACACTCTTGTGGGACACACTCTTGTGAGACACTGTTGTGGGACACTCTTGTGGGACACTCCTGTGGGACACTCTTGCAGGACACTCTTGTGGGACACTCTTAAGGGACACTCTTGTGAGACACTCTTGCGGGACACTGTTGCGGGACACTCTTGTGGGACACTCCTGTGGGACACTCATTTGGGACACTCTTGCGGGACACTCTTGTGGGACACTCTTGTAGGACACTCTTGTGGGACACTCTTGTGGGACACTCTTATAGGACACTCTTGTAGGAAACCCTTGTGGGATACTGTTGTAGGACACTCTTGTGGGACACTCTTGTAGGACACTCTTGTGGGACACTCTTGTAGGGCACTCTTGTGGGACACTCTTGTGGGACACTCTTATATGGACACTCTTAACTCTTGTGGGACATGGTTGCGGGACACTCTTGTGGGACACTCTCGTGAGACACTCTTGCGGGACACTCTTGTAGGACACTCTTGTGGGACACTCATACGGAACACTCTTGTGGGACACTCTTGTAGGACACTGTTGTGGGACATGCGGGACACTCTTGTGGGACACTCTTGTGGGACACTCATACGGGACACTCTTGTGGGACACTCTTGTGGGATACTCTTGTAGGACACTCTTGTGGGACACTCTTGTAGGACACTCTTGTGGGACACTCCTCCTCCAAAAGTCACGCTGCGAGGCTGCAAGACGAGCGTTTCGTACG